TACGGGCTCATTTTGGAGCGTCTAAAACACTATAATCCAGTACGCAAGGAATATTCACCTCTTCATCAATCAAATATAAACCCTCTTGAAGCAGAAACTATGATACAGTTGGCAGCTATTGGAGTCAAGAGATTACAGGTAAGTTACTTTACCATAATACGTGATGAAAGTCATTTTTTCTTTAAAGGATATTGATCTCAACAAGACAGCAGGGAAACCAGGGCAACCATATGACTACCTCTCTGATAGCAAATGTAGCAAGCTGGACGGAAGATTATCTAACACAGAGGAGGAATATCTTTGATCCTACAAAGAAACTGAATGACATAAAAATAGATATGACTTATCTGGAATGGTACAAGAAGGTGTCGATTGAGCAGGGAGGATACTATGATAGTTACAAACTTTGGCGCTGGAAAAGTAGGGATGAAATCAAAAGCAGACATGAAATCATGAAGCGCAAGAGAATTCTCACTCGATACTGGAGAGGCATAGTCGATGAAGCAGAGCAAATGCCTCAAAAAGAAGGTTGGGCTTTTCGGACTCGTGGGCTTTATGCAGGAACCAATTACCGAAGAATGGTTGAACCACTTGACATAGCTGAGTACTACGGTGAGGGAAAGAAAGATTATCTAACTCAAGGAAGACCCAAACATTACAGGTTGTTGGAACAATGGTTGAACGAGGACAAGCAGCCTGGGACTGGGAATAGAAACTCAAGGAGCAAGGCTTGTAGTCTCACAGAGGATTCTTGCTTTTGGGCTCATGTGGAGGAGGCTACTCTATGTTGCAATGCATTGAAGGATGGCCAAAGCAGCCTAAAAGACAGAGAAACATCAAGGAAAAGGCTCGTTGAATTTGAGCAATATGCCATGGATTTGATAAATAACTATTCGGTGTCTGTTGAGGTTTTCCTGGAGCAGAGCAGCTTCATGCAATGGTGGAATGGGTATTCTGAACTCATCGACCTCATAGGAGGATTTTTATGTCAGTCTCCCTGAGGGATTTCATGAAGAACAAGCGCTATAGAAATTATGCTTAGGGAGTCGGAAAATAATAATGATGTGTAAAAATTGCTTGGGTCATTTTTCAATACAATAATAGAAAGGTAACAGCAGCCACCATCTCAGGAAAGGAGACACGAGATTCCAAAATGGAATGTGGACCAGTTTTTAGTTGTAGCATCCAATGCCTGCATGGATTTGAACCCATCCATCACCCCTTTCAATGGAGAAACCCCCAAAAAAAAAAAAAAGAATTAACTAATGACCTAAGCACTTTTTTTTCCTTTTTTTTTTTAAAAAAAAAAAATAAGAACGGTTGGAGAAGTAGTTGTTCCTTGAATGGTAATTGGCAAGTTCAATTATATTGGAGACCGCAAATTAGACTAAAATCTTGCAAATCGAAATTATGCACTTTGGTGACGGATTAAAATCTTTCATGCATTAATAGGTGTGATAAATTTTAGCACAAGCAAATTCAAATGCATGATGTATGATTTCTGTTTGAATTCGGAATTGTCTTTTTGTATGTTCATAATGCATCAATACCTATTACTAATATTTTTTTAAAAAAAATAATTACACACTATAACGTAAAGAATAATAATAATTACACACTACAGTAACTCTTAACGTAATTAACAAGTAAGTGCTCAGAGAATTTGTTAACTTTTTTTTACCGTTACAGTAGTATTGTCCCATGAACTGATAAATAGCTGGCACCCACTGGTTCTCTCCCGGTAATCAAGGTCCATAGCTGGCCTGCTATAATTGGTGAACGACGCGCCGCGATACCACATACAAACTACACAAGGCGAGTTACTTAAGGCCGATCCATATAAAAGACATAATTTGGAAAGAATACCGTGCGGACCCACAAGGCTGGCTGGATCGTGAAATACACGAAACGAAAACACCCTCCTGTTCCGGAGATTCTATTGGCCCCAAACCCGGTATTGAAGATTTGACTAAATGCATAAAGACTTGTTTTTCACCAGATTAGACTTACATAATCATCATTTAATGTATTGTCTGGTCATGGTGCTGCACTTTCACCATGTCCTACTGTAACAAATTTTGAAACATTAATGCCCTAACATTCTCCATCTCCATCCCAATCCTCTAGCTTTGAATTCACAGCTGTAATTTAAACCCTACACCCCACCCCAAAGACAAACAAAAAAAGCCACCAATCATGAATTACAGCCCAAACGAATCACGGCGCAATTGCGTGATTGTTCAATTATGCAAAGCAGCTGATGGTAGCTCCATCTTTAACTATGCAGATGCTGGCACATCCCATCGTATGAGTTGTCCGCTTAAAGCCATGAAACCAGAAAGATGGAAGAATATCTTATCTATGGAAAAAATACGTAGGTATTAGTCGGATCACGACGGGCCTCCTCTGTCGAGGATAAAATGAAGGCTTCTCTTTAATTTTTTTCTTCTTTTTTTCCCACACCAAAGTCTTACCCATTTGCATCTTCCTCTTTTTTCTTTTTTTTTTTCCTGGGTAAGAATATGCATCTTCCTTAAATCTATTTATTTTATAATTCTATTTATTTTCACTTGAGGCAAACTGATTCGAATTGAAACTTGGTGAGGCCCCTTATTAGTAGCCTTCCGCGAACTTTTACTGGCAAACAGTGATGAAGGTCGTCCACGACCGCCGTCCGTCAGGTCTTAAAGTTATTTTCTATCAAAAAATTTTTACGTTTTTATGAATATATTTTTTAATTATTTTTTTATCTTATATATATTTATATATATATTAAATTGTTATAATATATTTTCTCCAAAAAACTTTAGAAAATTATAATCTAAACAAGAGCTTGGAATATTAACGTAGAAATCCACAAACAAAAAAATTGGGAAGAAAAGAAGAAAACAAGAGCATGCGATGCGTGATCCAGGATTCCAGATGCAACACCACCGACGGACAACCGTGCAAACTGCAAAGTGCAAACTCTGCACTGGTGGACCCCTCCACCCCATTGCTGGCCCCCGTGATTAATGCTTAAACCATTTGCCGCGTGTTCCCAAGTCTCCCTTCATTAGCCCCCACAACCCAAAACCTAATACTTCTTCCCTGCGTCTCCCTCTCCCAACCGGATCCGGGGGATCACGGACAAGGAATTAATTTTGTTTAACAACGATAGTATTTATATAAGGGTTAATCACATTTTATCCCTTTAAAAAATACCTCATTTCTTGTTTACCTCCTAACCTTTAATTTTGCTTACTTAACCCCTTTAGGACAAAATTGCCCTTGCATTATTTTGACTTTTCATTTACCTTATTTTCCTTTCTTTTATTTCTTTTTCTCTTTCTTCTTTATTTAATTTTTCCTCTTTCCCACAAAAATTTCACCTTAATTATTGAAATTAAAAGAGAGGAATTGCAGAGATCTATCTTCTCCTTAAATGATTAAAAAAATATTCAAATTACTTCCCTAAAATACAATTTTTTTTAGCCTTTCAATTCTTTTTAATTTTGGATTTCCTCTTTCCTTTCTAGTTTCTCATTTTATTCTCAAAAAATATCATAAGATGAAATTGTTTTTCTTTCTTTTATTTATTTTTCTCTTTCTTCTCTCTTTCATCCTTCCCAATAGAAATTCCATTTCAACGAAAATTTTTGTTTGAGTTTGTAATTGCATATTTCTGGGTGAAGGTTTAAAAGGTATCAAAAACTAATTTTAATTTTTTGTATGATGCCACGTGTCACAAATTTCAATTGATGATTATTAATCAGATCACAATTTCATCTTAAGATATTTTCTTGGGAATAAAATGATAAACTAGAAAGGAAAGAGGAAAACCCAAAATTAAAAGAATTGAAAACCTAAAATAATTGTATTTTAGAAAAGTGATTTGAATATTTTTTTAATCATTTAAAGAGAAGATAGATCTTTGCAATTCCTCTTTTTTAATTTCAATCATTAAGGTGAAAATTTTTGTGGAAAAGAGGAAGAATTAAATAAAGAAAACGAGAAAAAGAAATAAAAGAAAGGAAAATAAGGTAAATAAAAAGTCAAAATAATGCAAGGGCAATTTTGTTCTAAAGGGGTTAAGTGAGCAAAATTAAAGATTATGAGGTAAACTGAGAAATGGGGTATTCTTTAAGGGGAAAAAATGTGATTAACCCTTTATATAATCTACTTTATCCTATCATTATAGAGGGGGAGGGGACCTAACTTATGGAAGGAAGTCACTGAAGTGGCAAGTCATAAATAGTAATCGATAGTAGGAAACGTTTAAATTCTTGACCTTTCACCCACAGTCAAGAAGTTTTAGTAATAACTAACGGACCAATTGGCTATTTAATGACGCAACCAAGACTTAATGATGTGATGCTTTTTAAATTTTTGTAATAATACCTTTATATGAAATATTTGTAAAACTTTATATCGGACGTATAATTATTATGCATGAAATTCATATAAATAATATTAATAAAATATTACATTCTTGTTATAAGCATGTACAAATAGTTAAAAAGCAGTTATAACTTATTTTAGAAAATGTTACACTATTCTAGCATTATTGACAATCGTCACTGCCCTGCATCTCTTGCAAGAGTAAAGCAGTAAACAAACTTTTTTTCCCCTTTTTTTTAACCTAATCTAATTAGATTTACCCTTCTCCGTTACTAATTAAGGTGACAAAGTCCTCATAAGTACTACAAGAGTAAAGAAGTTCTCAGCTTTTTTTTTTTTTTGGTTCCTTTCTTTTAATCTCATCTCTAAATTCAGAGGCGGCATTATTGGTTTCCCTCTCCACCATCTAATCCCCACTAAGTGATACTAGTCGCGTAGTCCAGAGGAGGGAGAACAGAAAGATACAGCCAGCAACTTCATTCTCTCTCTCTCTCTCTCACTCACTCTGAGTCTTTCTGACAGAAGAAGATTTCCTCCTCCTCCACCCCCACCCCACCCCGGCACCCCGGCGCATCCCCAAAACAAAACCCCCAAATTGGTTGCAGCGGTAGCGCATAGCAATGGCTTTAACAGCTGCTGCTTTACCATTCTTTGTTTTGGTGTCTTCAATATGCATTGATGTTTCCTCAGCCTCCCAATCCCATTACCGGCAAATTCGGCCCCCGCAGCTCACCACCAACTATTATCAGAAAAGCTGCCCCAGATTTGAGCAGATCATACAAGACACCACCACTAACAAGCAGATCAGCTCCCCCACCACCGCCGCCGCCACCCTCCGCCTCTTCTTCCACGACGCCCTCCTCCAAGGCTGCGACGCCTCCGTCCTCATCTCCTCCACTCCCTTCAACAAGGCAGAACGCGACGCCGACATTAACCTCTCCCTCCTGGCGACGGCTTCGACGTCGTCGTCCGCGCCAAGACCGCCCTCGAGCTCGCCTGCCCGGCGTCGTCTCCTGCGCCGACATCTTGGCCGTCGCCACCCGCAACCTGGTCACCATGGCCGGCGGCCCTTACTACCCGGTTAGACTCGGCCGCCGGGACGGTTTAGTCTCCAAAGCATCCGCCGTCCAAGGAAATCTTCCCCTCCCCACAATGTCCCTGACTGAAATCATCAAAATATTCGGGTCCAGGGGCTTTTCGGTCCAAGAAATGGTGGCGCTCTCCGGCGCTCACACCATAGGATTCTCGCATTGCAAGGAATTCAGCTCAAACATCTACAACTACAGCAGGGCCTTAGAGTCGGATCCCTCCTACAACCCGAGGTTCGCGGCGGCATTGAGAAATGCTTGTGCGGATTACAAGAAGAATCCGACGTTGTCGGTGTTCAACGACGTAATGAGCCCGAACAAGTTCGACAATAAGTACTTCCAGAACTTGCCGGAGGGGCTGGGGGTTTTGTCGTCGGACCGAAGCTTGCACTCGGATGAGAGGACGAGGCCGTACGTGGAGCTGTACGCTAAGGATCAGGATGCATTCTTCAAGGCATTTGGTCTGGCAATGCAGAAGCTGAGCGAGTATGGTGTGAAGACTGGAGGGGAAGGTGAGATTAGACGAAGGTGCGATGCTTTCAACAACTGATCGAGTGCAATACTGTGAAAAATTCAGGGAGGGACTGTACGTTTAAATATTTTGGTTGATCTCAGCTCTTCTTTCGTTCTTTCTTTGTTTGCTTACCTTACCATTTTTTTGTATTTTTCAATTGAGAGAATTTATTTATGCATACACAAAATATTTACTACTAGTATTTAAAATGAAATTAAAAAAAAAATTCCTGTAATAGCACTAGTCGTCCTAGTCATTCATAAGCCAAGTGCAAATAAATCACCATTAAGATTAGTGTTAGTACTATAATACAGATGCATATAATAATAATAATTCCTTGCTTTTAGCTCCATACTTCCTTACTTTGCTATGGACATAATAATAAATCTGCTCCGTCCTCCCTTTAGCCTCCAAACCAAGTACAGTACGCTTTGAATATCAGTAAAATGTTAAGAACCCAAATTAGTAGTACTATTCTGTTTATGGGATTCGCAGCAGAGCAGACAGATAGGTAGGTCAATGATTGATTGATTGATTGATTGATTGATTGATTGATCTCTACATGTTGTTGTGTTGAAAATAAAATTGGGACCTGATTATTATCATTATTTAAAGAATCCTATGTTGGGAAGGGGGGGCAACTTCAGTTCTCTGTCAACTAGGGAGCGTGTATTGAAGCTGGAATTCTTGGTTCTAGGAATGGGAGCAATTACAAAGATCTGCTCCATCTTAAAAATGCTTCCCTTTAATTGAAGCTGGTTTCCTACCGGAAAGCCAGTGGTGAAGAGACTTTGTCCAGGGTGTGGTACTAAGACTTCTTCGACTGCTCCATCCAAGAAATTTGCAACTGCAGCTACCGATTTTGACATGAACCCTGCCTATCAAAGAGCCCAATTGCCTTGTTAGTCTGGAATGTGACATCCATGGTTCGGAAAACAAAAATCGTAAAAAGTTTGCATTAGCAATCATCATCATATGCTGCACGCAAAAGAGATCCAACAATTGGGCGGCGGTGAGGTGAGGTGAGGTGAGCTTCGCAGTAAATCTTTGAAGAAGCCAATAATGAACTATGAAACCAAACTTTACTTAATTTTAACAGTACTAGTATCATCAACCATTTCTGGGAGGCGCCATTGATGACCAAATCCTTTAACCACTCTTCCGAAAAGAAAACTCCAACAACTGATTTATTATTCACAAGCAAATAATTACTAATTTATTAGCACCACTCTTCCACTACCAGAAATTAGATTTAAGGAAAAATAGAACCGGAGAACGCTCGCACGCGTAATTACACTTTCATTCCCTCCCCCCCCCCCCCCCCCAATGGTTTGGTTTAGTTCTTTAAGGAAAAAAAAAAAAAAACACTTTACCAAGAAAGTCATCCACCACCATGGCATGGCATGGGTTGCTAGGAGAATCGGACTGTTCACAGCACTGCAACCGCCGCAGAAGAACCGGACCCGTCACCGGATTGATGCTCTACCCCTGCCCGAACTCGCATCCTCCTCGTCAGATTTCAGCAACTCCTCCCAATCCACTGCCTCTTCCTCCTCATCCTTTTGTTTCAGAACCTCCAAAATCCTCCTCACCTTCTCCTTTGACCGCTCGCTTCCCATCTCCTCCAACTTCTTCAACACTTCCTCTGCGTTGGCCTCCTTCGCCAATCCCTTAAACCTTAACCCCCCGTGACTCAACCCATACAGTGCCCCCACGCAGCTCTCTCGAGTCGAATCCCAGTCAAAATTCTCCCTCTCGAGCATCTCCATAAAATATCCCACTGCCCCACCGTCCAGCATCGCCCCCGCCCTTCCGCGCTGGCAGCTAAATTGCCCAGCACCAAGAGGATCCGACCCGTCATGTGGCCCGACCTTGCCATGCCCAGCAAGACTTGCACTGATCCCATTTTCACCATTTTAACCCGATTGCTCTGGACCAAAGAAAGATGATAAAGTGCCAAAGCCGAGTCATGGCGAGTCCGCTCGGAGTCGGACCGGAGCGCGTGTAGAAGCGGAGGCAGCCCGCCTAACACCCCAATTGCGGTCTTGTTCTGATCATCAAGCGCCAAACTGAAGAGGGCACCGGCAGCGTGGTCCTGCGACTCGGGGAATCCACCCCTCAGAACATCAATCACGGGGGGACGATCCCTGACCTCACGATCTTGACCTTGTTTCGATTCTCTAGGGACAGGTTCACCACAACGGCGACTGAGTTCACCTGAACAGAAGCGTATTTGGAGGTGATCAGAGGCCGGAGAGCCGAGAGTAGACGAGCCGTGCAGAGATTCACCCGGGATTCCTCCTGGGTCCGGGTTAGTTTCCGGAGGGAAAGCAGAGCCTCCTCTTGCTCGAACACTTGAGAGCTCCTGAGCTTGGTCGCGAACTCGTCTTCTTCGAGGGAGCTAGGGTGATTCGAGGACTCGATATCTGAGGAGGACGAAGAGGAGCAGCAACAAGAGGGGCGGGTGGTGAAAGGCAGAGGAGTGGTGGGCCCGCTGATGACAGCGGCGGCCGTCACGGATTCCTCGGAGCTGGTGGAAACTTGACTAGGCGTCCGAGTCGGCTCGGTTTCTTGGGAGGAGAACACTGATAATTGATGATTAGGCTTCTGCTGGGAACGGGAAGCGAGCAATAAGGTGCGAACGAGGTTATGAGCGGAGCAGAAATCGAGGGGTTTGGGAGGAAGGGTAAAGAGGGTAGAATGGCACCAGCTGAGGATAGCGGACTTGAGGGCGAGGTTAGGGATGAGGGTGGAGAAATCGGGAACGGAGCCGTCGGGGGGGTGGGCCTGAAGTTGAGGGACTTGCAGGCATCGATGCAGTTGCGCTCGAAGGAGTGGCCGGAGGAGACAATAACTGGGTCGACCATGAGGGAGCCGGAGATGGGGCAGACGAATTCCGGAGGAGGTTGGATTTTTTGCTTTGGGGATTTCTCGAAGTGGATTTTCCACTTGGGCAGCTGCTTCTGCTTGGCGCCACTGCCCATCTCCCTTTTTCTTTGTTGTTTTGATCCTGAAAAGGTTTTCATATGTGAGGGATATTACGGATGGATAGGCAGATTTCAAATCGGGTAGGTGTTGCGGATGATGATGATAGCAGTAATCTTATCAACTTTGAAAGAGGGATTGTAGTGCTGACTACAATTGGGGACATGATGATGGTAATATTCTGCCGCTAGCTGATGAATCTCTCTCTCTCGTTGCACAGATTGCTACAGAGTGTAACAGACTAGCCAGTTGAGTAAAGTGAGGAGCGGAAGTGAAGGGAAGGGATAACTATTCTTCTTCCGGTCAGGGAGCTAGCTAGAATGAACGAGCGATCTCCGGAGGATCTCTCTCTCTCTCTCTCTCTATCTTGCGTTGGTTGATACACCCTACTTGATAGGATAGGAAGCCAGAGTGGGCATTAGCGAATGGCGACTGGCCAGGTTCGAATGTTTATGATCAAATTGGCTACTATGAAATACTAGTATACTACTACTAGTACGAGGAAATGTCAAATTGTCAGCACTCAACCGTGAGATGGTGCTAATCATTCCCTTCCCTTAAAAGCTTTGCGTCACAAGGAAGGATCTTTGTTGCTGACCTCCTGTCCTTTTTTCTTTTTCTCTTTTTTTTGGGTTTAAATTCACTCTTTTACCCGTTTGGCTTTAATACTCAAAACTCTCTAGCTGGGGGCCTCTAAGAAGAAAATTACATGACAAATACAGACAGCAGGATCCGACAGATGGCTTTTTTTGACACGAGCCAAAACCTTAGTGGGATTTTTGCTTTTTGTGGCACCCCCGCCCCGAGTTTTTGCTTATTCCATCGACGACTCTGTGTCATTTTCACGGGAGTTTGTGACTGACTTCGTGGAATTGAAGTGTAGGCTAGCGAGGGACCTTTTACCCAATCAAACCGACCCCTTTCTAGTCTAGTCTTGAAAAGCTCAGAAAGAATTTGAGGTTAAAACTCTTCCAACATAAAAAGCGATACAGAGAGCGCTGTGACATCGATCAATGAATAATAAACATATAAGCATGGAAGAGCACTGCACAACTCTCTTCAATTATTTTTTTTTCGTCCCCAAAAACCTTAATAACTAAGGTTCGCCCTCTGTCGTCGCCTTGTTCTAGGCTGGCCCCTTTTCTGAAAGCTATCCCCTTTGTCCCTCTGCTCAGTAAAGCTCGCTCTTCCACCTTCCCCTGTCTATAATCATTTACGTAATACTTAGTAGTAGTATCAAACAACTGTACTATTACACTACTGTTTTTTAAAGGGGGGAAAAAGGTCTTTTCCTTCTCTTCTCCTCCAATAATGTTGACAGGCTTGCCAAAAGACCCCGTGGGTTTGGCCGGGGAGGGGCCCATATTTCCTTGATAGAGAGTAGCATCAGCAGTAATGGCGTACAAATACTACTAAGCTACGTACAACTATGTAGTACTCCATTAATTTAAGGGCCCTCAGTTATTCTAATGGTTCTGTACCGCAATACTAGTGCTTTGCTATCGCTAGAAAGTTATTCATTCAATTGTTCTAAAAGCAGCAACACTACTCTAGCTTTGGTTCGAGAAAAAGACGTAGCAGATATGTATTTGAGAGAACTAGTGCTTTGAACTTTATGAAAGGAACAAATTGGCACCAACACCATCTACCTTTTTGTTTGTTGTAGCCATATGAGAGGAAATGATTCAATTGGGTTATTGCTGTCCATTTTTATGCAACACATGCCACGTTTTGGGTTGGTGCCCTCTCCATGCCTTTTAATTGGTGATGATCTCTCTTGGTTACATACTCTATCCAGCATGATGGCCCGTGCATTAGTTAGAGACTAATATCTGTTTCGAAGAGGGAGAAAAAAAAAACTTTAATGCAAAGGCTTCCTGCAAAAATTCCCTCATTTTCTTTTCGGATTGCTTTCGGTATGAGAAGTCTGAAAATCAGGGAAATTTTCTTTTATTGGGTGTTGGGGGGCGGGGGGGGGGTTGCAACTCTCCCATACAACATTGTGGCCTCACAAGTTTGATTTCAAACAAGTTTGCTTTGGAGTATAAATGAGTTGGATTAGAATGTAAATAAGTTACAACATAGTGTAAAAAAAAAATTTCAAATAGCTATTTTACCTTGAAATGGAGTCACATAAAACTTGTGAGGCTCGAATCGTGACATGACACCTCAAATCCAGTTGGGATTATCAATAGTGCCACTACTCAATGTCAATCTCACTTATCAGGTGAGTGTAAAAGAAACTTAAACAAATAGCATATAACAAATTAAATAAATAGGACATTCAACATAAATATAAAAATGGCACTAAGGGTTCCATGTGCCTCAAATCACATGTGTTTACGTTAGAGTGGTGGGAAGGTAAATGCACATTTACAAAATGCTTATGCACTTTGTTTATGCACTTTGTTTTTCTTAGTTTATATATTTGGCACTCCTTATTTTTAGGTGTTACAGAAAACAATTTTTTTTTAAGGTAAAAGACGTTAACTAAGTAAAAATGCCCTAAAACACTCTAAAGCTGTATAAGGACACTTAAAAAAGTATATCTTAAAAGACACCCCACCATTAGTCCCAAAACTTTCTCCTTCCTTTCCTCTTCCCCACCACCTTCCTAAGGAGGGAAAGACTTCTCCATCCAACCCTAAACTTACTACCGTTGTCCCTCCTTTTTCCCTCCCTAAATTTGGAGGAAATAGGAGAGGGTTAGCAAGGGGAAGAAGTGGCGGGAAATAAGGGGTAGAAGAGAAGAGAAGAGAAGAAAAAGGGGTGTAGCGGTGCGGGGAAGGTAGAGAGAGATATAGGGAAGGAGCAGGTGTTATGAGTGTTTTTAGACAAATAACAATAATAATTTTTCTAAAACAATAATAATGAGTTATAATAAATTTTAGACAAGCACTTAAAAAAAAAAAAAAACATCCATCCAAACGAACCTTTAAGTTACTTGTGAGTTGTGAGCGTTAGCATCAAGCAAACGACATTCTAATCTAAAAGATTTATCAGTCATGACTGATAAATTCTATCATTTTTTTTAGTGCCATACTCATGATTACCCAATAAACTCTTACCATATCATTTAAACTCTTAAAATCATCTAAAGGGTAATATTTCTATTCACACGTCTAAGAGCGAGTAGGGTAGATACTCATCACTATGGTATCCAGAAGGTATTCCAGCGATAAACTAACGAATGGTTTTCTTTGACGGAGAGATGAATTGGAGGCCACTGCGCGTGCTCCCTTCTCCTAAGTCCAAATTTCACTGCGGTGGCCATAACCATGAATTGCTAATGGGCTTTACAGCCAACAAGCCCATGGAACATCCTAGAAGAAGAATCGAACACCGACCCAATTCCACTGCGGTGGCCAATAGCGCGCAAAGAAGCGCGTGAATGACAAAAGGGCGTGCGCACAAGGCAGACTAGGAGGCTACGTCGGATATATAAATAAATATGCATCTACTAGGCTTATGCCCCAAGCCATCAGCTAGCAGAAAGAAAGAAAGCCATAAGCGTAAGCCTATAAAATAAACTAGAAACGCTCCCTCCTCCCCGCTTCAGAGAAATCAGAACAACAATCAAATCTTTGGACCAGAATTCCGATCAGAATCGATACTTCGTATAATTGTCGATTAGTAGTCCAAGGAAGAAAGAAAATCACTCTTCATCATCACCATCTTTTCTTTCCTTCCTGCTCTGCTGTTGGGACAGATTAGGAAACCATAGTTCAGGCGAGAAAAAAGAACAAAATTTTCAATGGAAGAGGAGGGACGGAAGCTTTCCCGGATTTAGGGAGGCACTGCCAACACTCTGATTGCCATCAACTCGATTTTCTCCCCTTTAAATGTGGTGCCTGCCATAAGGTAGTTCTACTACTAATTTCTTTAATCATCTTTTCGTTCAAAATCCTCCTAAAATTTTATTACTACCGCGTCAAGCGACTTGATTGACTGTCTAATTAATACAATGATGATCCTATCAACATTCAACTTCAAACTCGGATTTTGCAGGTCTTTTGCTCGGAGCACCGATCCTACAAGGCCCACGACTGCCCCAAATCGGAGCACAACAGCCGGAAAGTTGTGGTCTGCGAAATATGTTCGACGTCGATTGAGACCACCGGGTATGACGGTGTAGATGAGAATTCTGCACTGAAGAAACACGAGACATCACGGGATTGTGACCCCAAAAAGAAGAAGAAGCCCACCTGCCCAGTTAGGCGGTGCAAGGAGGTTTTGACCTTCTCCAACTCCAGCACCTGCAAGCACTGCCAGATTAAAGTTTGCTTGAAACATCGATTTCCAGCAGACCATGCGTGCTCCAAGCACATGATCTCTTCGTTTTCAACTTTGGCCAAGGATGGGAAGGAAGCCAATAGCAAATTCTTGCTTGCTTTGGCTTCAAGAAACGGAAAGGATTGTGGGAACAAAACTCGTGGTTCTACTTCACCTCCTGCACCTTCTGTCAAAGCTCATTGATCCAAAAAAAAAAAAAAAAAGTGGATGAAGAAAACAAAAGTCAAAAAATTTGCAGGATTCAGCTCCTATACATGTAAATAGTAAAGCATCTTGCCATTTTAGTTCCGCCCCTCCCAAGATTAGGGTGCATTAATGAATGGATTTACTTTTGACTCCTTGATTTTTAGGATGCATCAAGATAAAAACACGCTTTGTTGCTTGATATCTTTTGAAGCATCCTACATATAAACAAGACATTGGTCAAATTCCATTTGGTTGCATGAACAAGAGACTTGCTCATGCTTTGATACAGATTTACCAACTGTTAAACGCTATACACAGGGCAAACAACTGCACATTCGTATTTTGTAGCCTTGTAGCTTTTGAAACTTCCATTTGTAGACTGGGGAAATAAAAAGTAGCACATTTTTTGAATTTAATTTCCTGAATTACATCGCTGGTGGCATTCATGCAGCAGAGGGTAGTCCTGCTGAAGGTCGTTTAGCTCGGGGCAACATAGCTATTAGGATTTTCTTCCTTGGTCCCTGAAAGGCAAATGAGACTTGTCAGGAAGCTAATTATAGACGACGATGGCAAGGCACAAAATGGAATACACGTTCATGCTAAACACAAGTTCCAACTGTACAAAAATAACCGATTTTGTTGTTGAGCAAGCCAAGGGTACACCTGCTCAAGAATCGAGATCGAATGGGACAAAAGAAAAGCGGAACCTTAAAAAAAAAAAGTGAATATACATAACAATAATCTGCTTCAATAAGGCCACCTTTGTCTATGAGAATCTAGTTTTCTATTTTCAAAGGTCGCTTGAAGTAACAACTGCAAAATTCACAATAACTCAGTATCCATCTCAATCAGCTTTAGAAACAAAACCTTTGGTTTGCGAAATGAATCGCAGAGATCTGATATCTCCATTCAGTCATGAAAATTTTTACCTTACCAAAACTATAGGGCTGCTTATCTTGCTCTTCATTTAATTATTTTTCATTTACTCTTCAATTTGAAGCAAGAATGGTAATCGTCTCTAAGGTGCACTTCTTAATTGACATTAACAATCATCATCAAGCTAATGTTGCAAGGAAGTAAGGGTTTCCAGCGTAAAAAAGTATAAATACCATTGGTATACCCAATTCCTTCAAGTCACGGTCTCCCATCTGCTTCAATGCAGCCATGTCCACCTGCAATGAAAATTAAACATGCGGTAAAGCGATAGAATCAATGCACAAGACTTAATGTGTAGCAATATATTGGTGATAGTATACCCACATTGGTGATAGTAACTGTAAAGCAAGTGGTGGTTGAATCAAGAGAGATTTCTATGAACAAGCTTGCAAATGCCATGGGTTACAATCTTGGTCTCTCTTTACACAAGTAACTCGTGCAACAATCAACATCTTATACATGAAGCTCATCCCCTAATTCTGCTTGTTTCTGGGTGATCATTTAGGTTGGGGGAGGTGAAGAGAGAGAGTGGATGGATGTCCCCATAACAGGGGCTAATGTCTAAGGTTCATATGCCCAAACTAATAATCATTCAAAATTAGCAATAAGTACTTGAGTGCCCTGGAAAACTCAATACTTGGTGAAGATAACACACATGCTGTACTTGCAAACATTTGAAAAGTGGCAAGGAAAAATAAATCAAACAATAAATCTTCCAACCATTTGCAAGCATCTCATGGTAAAGTCAATTGATTTTAGTGATCATCTGTCTATGCTTGTTTTGCGAGAATTTTAACAAGCAAGCTTGGGATGTGGGAGATAGACATCTTCAAAAGACAACATTGAGGACAAAGTGATCTATTAGAACTCCTTGCCTCAGCATGGCACTTTATCCTCAATCTTCAGCAAAAGAAAAGAAACATGAAGAACAGACCCTCAAATTCCCACATATCACCAAAATGTGGATGGTACAGAAGTATATTAAATAAATCAAGTTACCTCCTCTGCCTGAAAAAGGATGGCGTACTTGCCCAAACCAAGTGAATGCAACAAGCTAGTGACAGTAAGATGTTCATCCTATGCAAACAACAGGTAAAAACCATCAAGAGGGCATTGACAACAGTGACTAAGGAAACTAATGCAGGGAAAAGGCAAAATTAGCTAAAAAAACTATATAGTACACTTGTATTTGGATACATAATAAGTGCAACGTTAAATGGTGAAAATGCAGCGACTGATGTTAAATCTACTTAAAAGTTTTTTTAGAAAAAATGTAGTACTCCAAACAGATTTAAGAACAAAAAATGTAACTGTGTTGCTCAAAGTAATCTGAACATGGTAAGAAAGTCTATCATAAGATGAACTAATGAAGCTATTTGTTAAGCATTATCTAACAAGAAGGCAGCGTATGAGTCTTATTGTCCACTGGTCTAATTTCAGCATCTCCAAATTCACAAGCGTAACCAATTTTTCCTTTACAAAATTGATAACTGTCAATCAAGGCACTTCTAAGTTAGCCACCAATCTCTTGGCCGCCATAATAATATGCTAGAGTAAGATAAAGTAAAAGCAGAAGGTAAATTCATACAGCATAAGTGTTTCTCAGCATACTGCTACTTGCTGGTGGAAGATCCTTGAAAGGCTTGCTAGGATCCAGACTGGTCCTTGTGGTTGCAGCCATAACCCTCATAGATGTAGGGCCCTTTTGCAAAGGATCCAAGAGATCAGAAGACACCATACGTCCAGCTCTGGAAGCCAAGACTGGCATTGGTGATTGCAGCACCTCACCAATAGCCCTTGAGGATGATATGCCTCCAGACATTTGGGGATTCCTAGTTGGGGCTTTAATTCTTAATCCATCCACAGTATAAGAACTGTAAGAACTTTGCAATGATTCCATCCGCAATGATTCACCAGCCCTTCTTAATGGTGCAATATTTCTCGAAAGAGATCTTTCAGGCCCTTCTGAAGATTGAGTATTCCACGACATCTTTTCCAGTAGTTCCTTCTTCTTCTGTTCCTCAATTCGCCTGGACATTCTTTTGTGCAATAGTTTCAGACGTAAGTCATTTCCGCTCAAGCTTACATCTTCATATACCAATTTCAGTTGAAGAGAAGTTAAGATACAGACCAAAACTATGCGATATTAATCTGATAAAAGTTAAGACATATGAAGTTTACCAGCAGAGCCAGTGTATCCGGAATTTCTTGAAATTATATCCTCCTGGAGTCTGAAAGCATGACATCAAAACCCACTAAAATCAAATTGACACCAGTAGTTCCGACCACTAAAAGACCACAGAAATCTTCAACCTAACAGATTGAAAAATATACAGCAGAAGAAAGAAATTGATATTGAAGGGATAACGAACAGAATGTGACATTTTATCACTTCTAAAGGAACTCAATTATGAGTTCTGAAGGGCCAAAAATACTAAGCAAGAGTATCTTACTGGCTAGAGAAAGGTGTTAGATTCCCTCATGTGTTATGTGAAAAACAGGAAAAATTAAAGTATTTATGTGATCTGTAAATTAAAGAGCAGTCAGCAGAGATTGAGCATAGTTTTTGAAGAAAAATGGTGAGGAAAAAATTGGGATAGGAAGCACCAACCTCTTGTTGGTGTAAAACAAAGAATCTTGAGCACTGCCATTGGCCCTAGATCTTTTGGTTCCTGATAATGCGGAGCATCGCTAAGGAAACCCTCAGAGTTATCCGACGTCCTCCTTACTACCTTCTGCAAATCAAACATAAATTTCACAAACACAGCACAACATACAGTTGAAACATTTAATTCAGAAATTCATAATGACTCCGAAGTTGACCTGTAGGTCCAAACACAAGTATCAAGAAATTAGACCTCATAGCGTGGGGGCCGCGGGAAGGGGAAAAGAGATCGAAGACCATGGGGATGAATCATGACGTTTCCCAACCCCTCGAAAAGAAATGGTGGGAAAAAAGAACAGAAAAAGAAGAAATGGAAAGGGAAGATAAAGGAAGGCTTACTTGACCAGAGCGTCCAAGAGTGATGGTCACCTGAGGTCTTGCCATAACTTGATCTTGCTCCCCTCCTTCACAATACCCAAAGCTCAAGTAGCCGGAAGTTTAACCCAGTAATTATTAAATAATAAAAAAAAAAGATGGGTGAATTACGTCAATGAATAAAATCGATCACAAATAAGTAGGAGTAATCAATCTGGAGGGCAAGAGCAGTAAAAGTGGAGGTCAGCATCCTCTCGGAAAGTTTCATCGAAGAATGCAAAATGTCAAAAGGATTGTAAACGGTGGGGAAGGCAAATGACAAAATGGCAAAGGAATGTTTGCCGGAGAGTCTTGAGTGTAGTACCGCCGCAGCAGGAAAGGTACCGTAAAGGGCAAAAGCGTGGGGTGGGGTTGGAGTGGACTCAGTTACAAGTGTACTGTTTAGTAGTATTTACTACTCCCTACCACGTAGACGTAGTCCATGAATGGGTCGGGCCGATCCATTCCAGGTGCAGCAATATTCAACAAATTTTTCTTTTCTGCGGGTGGGAAGGGGAAATGACGACAGCCTTGGCCCGAAACGGAGACAGGTATCTATCAAAATTTGGACAATTCTTTTACTTTGAAAAGCTAAATTGGACAATCTATTTGAAAAGGTAAAAAGAAAAAAATTGCTTGACAAATTTTTCAACATTTAAATTAGATTAAAATGGATCAAGAAATTCTCATAAAATGTTTATGGTAAAGCTTAAAAGAAAAATATTAAATATCAACTTTATTTTTCTTTCTAAATAAGCAAAGTTTTGTATGGTCAATAGAAATTAGTAACATTTAAAAAAGATTCTTAAGAATGTAGACGGCAAGAATGAATTGAGTGATATTGAAAGAGAAAACATAAGTAAAAAATTTCGAATTTAAAATCTCTCACTTGCATAAAAGAGAGAAATTTATAAACTTGTATACGATTTGTTTCAACATCTTTCTATCATACAGGATTATGTTTAAAACAATCGTTTGAAATCTTATTATAATATATATATATATATATATATATATATATATATACGCGCGCGCACGAGCGCGCACTAAATTGCCTTGTTTAACTGAAAAACTACCATTAGAAAAATCACAAGGAAAGAAGGGAAAAGGGAAACTCAATGGCAGTTGCAATCTAATTGAGAATTTGCGTTCTTCCGGCAACGCGTCGAGAAACTTGTTGCCTAATCTGCATTTTTATTAACCAAAATTGCAGAACTTCGATTCCTCCACTACAATCTTTCAAGTCTGGACTGTCATCATTACTGAGTAATATGCTCTACGGCCCACCACGTATCTGAACCAAATATGTCATTACCTTCGAGAAGTGTGATAACTTTGGTACATCAAAAAATATTTTACAACGCTACTTTCTTGATTTGAACAAGTATACAGAGGATAACTTTCATTAGACAAGTTATCAGGACGAGTTAAAGCATCACATATTTGCTGTTGTTTCCCTGATCTCCTCGACAGATATGGCCTGCAAGGAGAAGACATTCAACAATGTCATAAAGGAGATGGATACAATGAAATCCCAAGCTACCAAACTAACTTCAGTCGAAAGAAAACTTCATTATGGAATATCATGAGTACCAAGCATTCCAATCACAAAAAAAGGGTCTAAAAGGAAAAACTCACCTGTTCGTTCCCAGCAAAATCGTTCTCAGCTGTGAGGAAAAGCATACAGTGGCACTCCTTCCTGCCCACATGAACTTGTAATTTTAGCAGTCTCAAAACCACTACAAATGTGAATAGTCAGAACAGGAGAAACAACACAGCAGGGAACTGCAAAGAGATTGAGGAAATAATTGTGTTGGGCCAGCAAAGAGTAGCCTTCCCCTCTAGCCTCCCCTTTTAAAATTTTTGAATCCTTGGGACACTTGCTACACCAATATTATACTCGAGAAAAAAGAATGGAACGTAAATGACCTATGACCATAGTAATTCTAATTGACGAAATACTCAGTCTTCAGAACAAAACAGCTCTACTACTCTTCCAGTTGCAAAACAGATGCATGAGCTATCAAAACATACATGTGACATCTCCATTGACTTTGAACACTTGCAAAAACTTCCTTTGTTTAAATGGTTGCAATCTTCAAGTCATATGCTCTACATCATCTTCATTCAAATTAACCAGCTATTGAACTACCTTACATGGAACCATCAATAATCATTATAAACAGTATCTCATTGTTAAAAATATACGAATTCTGCTATCCAGTTTTCTTCATCCATTCCTGTATTTGTTTTACGATTTGAACTATGGTCATGTTACAAAAAATTCTTGACCAGATAATGCAATAAATTGACAGAGTCCTGATTGGAGAAATAAATAAATCCATTAATCAACAAAAGAAGAAAATGCATCTGCAACTACATTACCAGAAGAACAGAACCATTTAGTACAGGTTACACAAAAATGGAATCAACCTACATCTGATATCTTACCTCTCTCTCATGGGAACACACGGGCAGTTCCAAAACCCTTGTTGCACCTCTGCAACTTTATCATCATAATGCCTGGAATTGAAATCCATAACTGATTGAATAGAGGAACAAAGCATAGGTGCAAATGCCTTTTTTAACATTTTCAATCATAAGAAAATAAGATCAAAACAAGCATCAGGAAAAGGAGCTCATGAATGGCTATTTACCTACAGGGCAGAGTGGTGCACCCAAAGTATCCCTGTGCTCTGCCAATCCCTGGCAACAGTCCAGAAAGAAATTTGCAAACCAAAGTTACTGGAGAAATGCCATTTGCCATAACTTTAAAGTAGATCATTCAAATGAGAAATGGTTTACTTCAGGCCACTTCCATGAGTTAGATTTTTCTGGTCAGTATATTTATGTGCACGTACGGGAAGACTCTTAATTTCATTTTGAGCAATTTAGCACCACCTCAATATTTCAAATTAACTTTTGATTCCATTCATACTGATGCATGAAATTCCTTAATCTTATGAAATCACAGATCACATCTTTTGCTGCATCAAGAAAATTGCATCGATAAGGCTAGTGATCAGAACACAAATCCATATTTTTCTTAGTTTTTTTTTTTAAACCTCAAATCACAAAAACATATCCATCCATAACAGAATACGCCAATTCCAAAGAGGAGAATAAAGACTACCACAGAAATGTCTATTGAAAAATGTACATAGATATGCTCATATTGCGTGTGTTTTAATGCATTTCTATTCTCTACATGCAGTGCTCAGAATTTTCCAGTAGGGGCATTTCAAATTGGTGTCCCTTCCTTACTCTTTTCCACATAGGACCTACCAAGATAAAAGCAGCAGATTCTCCTTAGGACACAAATAGTCCTTTCTATCATCTAGTATTAGAAAACATATGGAAAGAATCCACAAAACCAGCCCAAGTATTAAGCCATCTAAACATGTATAGTTAAGAATAATAGTTTCTTCAGCAGAATATTGACTCGCGCAGAAGGCAGAATAACGTTTTAGAAGCACATGAATTGCTGAAATAGTAAAAGCGGAAGAAAAGAAGGGGGAAAAATACCTTGATAACAACAGAAGTAACACCTTTGTCCATACAGAAATAGGTTCCGGACCTACGAGCATACTGCTCCGAGAACTTTCTCATGATTTCCACAGATTTCTCCGTCGGTTCCGCTACCAAACATATTTTTCACAAACAATATCTCTAGATAAGTAATACGTAGTAATTAAAGAAAAGAAAAAAAAGAGAGTACCATTACCAAGACTAGCCTGATAATTTAATTAATAATGTTTTAATTCTTGTAAAAAAGGAGGTAAAGGAAGATTGAGCATTGGCCGAGGAACCTACAAGACTAGGTTCCAATCAGAGACAACGCATTTGGCAATTAATTTTGACTCTAATCCTTCCGAATTTCAGTATTAGGGATAAAAATTAAACACAAAACAAAAAGAAAAGAAACATGACATACTAATTAAACTAGTACCTTGAGCTAGGACGAGAGTGCGGTGACGAGACGGCCTCGAAGGCGGAGGGAATGATGAAACGGCAAAACCGACTCCATAGGAGGTTGAAGCCTGAAGAGCTGTTGTCATGGTGGAAGCTACTACCAATTTGTTACAACTATTAGTTTAAAAAAAAAAAAAAAAAAAAAACCTTCTCACTAGTTTTGTTTATCGCACTTGATGAGTTAACAGAAGTTGTTGTAATAAATCTGAAGAAGGAGAAGAAAAAACTAGCAGGATTGTGCTGTTATTGTGAGGGAAGACAGAGTTTGTATTGTATGGTGGATTTGATGCGCCTGAGAATAATTATAATACAAAGAAGATATTTTATGGTTATTTGCGGGTGAAGGTGGTTTGGTGAGGGCCACTCGTTGGCAATATCGGCCACCAATCTTACGGAGCCACTACTGTGTTATTAATTTTCCCTCTCTACCCCCATATTGAAGAAGTTCTCTATCCGGAATCCATATCTAGAAATGAATCTATTTTACATTTGGGCCGAAGGATGCCATTTCTGGCTTAAAATCTGCGTTTCCGGAGGCCCACAATTTGTACAGGCGGCTGTCCCGGTCTCTACTTTCATAAAGTCCTTGAAACCCAGCCCACTCGTCAGGACTCCGGGCGTTAGTTTGGTATGTGAGAAAAGTTTGTAGCGCCTAAAAAGAGCCCGGATTAAAAAATATATATATATTTAAAAAAACCTCTAACTCCAACCAAAAGGGGAGGGAAAAAAGATTAAAGTATCAAACATTGAAAACAAATTGATATGTTTCTGCCCTTGCCACACACTTGCTACTTCTACGACGGTCGTCTTCCAAAAAATTTACAAATAAATAAATTAGGACCCATTTGGTTGCATTTTCTTGAGAGTTTTTGAGAATAATTACTTTTTAATAATGTAATGTATGTGAGATAAAAAAAATATCATTAAAAAATATTTACAAAAAGTTTTTTTTTAAAAAAAATTATCCAAAGAGTGACAAATCCCAACAAGGCCTTAATTTTCTGGTTAGGCTGCACTGCTGCTATAGGATTTGAAATCTTCTAACCTAAGAAGATTATAAGAAGAAGAAGAAGAAGAAGAAGAAGTAGTAGTAGTTGACTGTGTTTGTACAGTCCAACAAAAGGTAAAAGTGTTCCATCCACTTCCAAAATGACCATATGTTGGACCCTTCCATTATAATAAGTTCCATGCAGGCTTCCCACTGAACTGCCTCTTCCTTGAATAGTAGTTTTTTTTCCCCAAAGCAAAATGGGCAGTTGGCGTCTTGTCACTGGATCTCTCTCTCTCACACACTCTCTCTTGATGAAAGGTTTGTCAAGAGGGATCTACATGGATGATGATGGACCTCTACCACTCCTCGAGCCTTCGGGTCACGACCAAGAAATTACAAATTCTGCAGAAATTAGTAGCTAG